AAATGATATATAGGGGTGAGACATTCCCAAAGCTTCCAGGAAATGTGCTGGTACCGGTCAGCAGGGGAAAATATTTGCCCAAGGGTTTTGTTGTAGGGCAGATTCCCTGATGTAGCTTAATCAGTAGAACAAAAAGTCTATTGTGGACTACTTATGTGCATCCTTAATAGGATGTATGCAAATCCATTGGGCTTAATAGCACTATTCATGTATGCAAAGGTGGACATGTGTTTTAGGCCTCCCAGTCAAGCCATTTTGTTGTCAGTTCAACAAAAAACAAAGCATTTCCCTCAGCTCTTACCTTAGCTACAGTTGCAAAAGTACTGTTAGGAAAAATCTGAAAGGAAAAAATGATATTGAATACTTATAATGAAAAAGGTTCAGGCTTTGTTGCCAAACATAGAAAATAATTTCCATGGAATTTTATTTTGGTGACTTTTTAAAAGGCTCACACCTTAAAAAAGCTTGCAGAAGCTGTGAACAGCAAAAGCTTGCTGCAATTTGGGATTTGCATGGCCATTAAAAAACTAGCCATGGTCAAAATCAGGGGACCACTTATAGATTGCAAAGATTTTCCATTGAGTTCAGTCCTTTGAGGTAATGCATTTTAAAAATCATGCCTTGTTTGAGCAATGGTGGCTTGAAGAATACAGTTCACAGAGTAAAATATCAGAATCTTCTGTACTGCAAAGCAGGTAGCAACAAACATTTCTCAGTAGAAAAGTGTAAAAATGCAGTGATCTGTCTTGTAATGGATATCTGTCTATGAGGTAATTCTACTATCTTGCAATTACATGCCTGAAGACATTAATAGCATAAAGCATATTTTAAAAGTAATTGGTAAACCTATTAATTTCCACATCTCCATGTTTTTGTCATTTACCATGAAATACTTAACTGTCTTTTGCATTGTTTCAAAAGACGTGTCCATATTTAAATAGAAACCTCCTTTCATTGCCCATGCTGCATGTTTCATTTTATCTGTATGAGAAATGTGAAACTAGGGAATTAATAATTATTTCACTTGGAAAGGTATGAAGAAAATTCCATTGCCTTTGTCTGATTAGAATCTTCCCTGCTGGTTTAATTAAAAATGGCCATGTGACAAGCAAAGAAAGCATCTCTCCTTTGGGGTGGAGGGGGGAGGAGGGAATGGTATTGTATTTTCTGGTAAACAGTGAATCCTGGAGCTCCAGAGTTGTAAAATTTAAATGCTTAATGCAAATGAAAAATGCAGACTCAGGTCAGCTATAGACAAATGTCACTAGACTGGATGGAAAATGCACTGCAGGCAGAAAAGATGACATTTATCAGTCATCCATACATCAGTAACTAAAACAATTTTAGGGTTGTCTAGACAGGCATCTATTATTCCTTAAATTTAAAAGCTTTAGTAGAAAGACAACAGCAAATGCTCTATTTATATTTAGGTGGTTTTTTAGTTTTTTGGTAGTGGTGTTGTTTTTTTTGTTTGTTTTTTTTTTTTTTTTTTTCCTAGATGAAACAAGATAGGAAAAAGAAAAATCATAGTTTTCAAAATGAAAAGTACAGATTTTCTTTTCTTTTTCTTTATTTTTTAATCTTTTTTGCTCTCTGGGTAAAGGAGATTTTCTTGCCATGTTCTGAAGGCAATTTAAGTGAATTATCAGAGTGTGCATGCAATGCTGGCTGTAATTATTACAGTATAGCCCTGTAATATTGAGCTTAATTACTGTGTACAGTGTTTGGCCTTTATGTTTTCTGCTTAATTTACCCTGTATAGTTAACGTGAATTTAGTGGAATCATTATGCACCTTTTGGGTTTCTTCTTCGGAATAAAAGTATTTATATTTTCAGATGAAAAGAACTAGAATAGATACAAATATTGAAGTAAATCATTCTGGTAGATGGATTCATTCCCTCTGTTGCTTATGTGTTGCTTATGTATGTTCTCCAAATATTTATTGATACACCGAATTAAGATCTGTGAACTGTCCCATTAGCTGCCACAGGAAAACTTGAAAACTTCAATTTCAACTAAATATTTTCACTACTTTTTTTTTAATCTTCATTTTTACTCTCTATGGTAACAAGCGTTTTAGCAAGAATGTACACAAAATTGCAATTATTCATTCCACCATGCAGAGCGGATACTACAGGTTTTGGAATTAATTAAATTGTGTGATGAAATTTTTTATACTGCTGCTTTAAGATGAATCTTTGGATGTGCTACAATTAAGCAGAAAAGATATAGCCCAGCCCATCTGCAGACTGTTCTCCATTAATACCTCTTTTGTTTCCAGATCTTGCTTTTCTTTCACCTCCTCTAGTAGGAGGAAACAATGTCAGGTTGCCTCTCTGGCAGCAGGGCTGGAGTGTTTGCTAGTCAAACCCTTACTGCCAGTGGTTTAGAGCCCTTCAAATGTGAGGTGGGCTCTACATGTCCCATGCAAAGCAGGGAAACTGAGTGGTGGGGTAACTTGGTAAAAATACAGAAGCAAATGATGCTGCTTGCACAGTGGGCCTCAGAGTGTGCTGATTTTTGGAAAAGGTTTATGCTTTTCATGGGCCACTATGAAACACCGACTGCTTGTAAAGAAGCTGTGATAAAATTATTAAAAATTGAATAATATAAAATAAAAACCAAGGGGTTCAGCTGTGAACATGCCATCACATTCACTGTCTTTCAGAAAAGGTGGGGCAACTCTACACATTGAAAGGGATGCGGCTTGGTTTCGATTTGTTCTGTTTTTTCCTGCCTACAGCTCTTCCAAAGTTCTTACCTTCTGTGTCTGCTGGGAAGGGGTGATGCATTTGTATGACACCATGATTCTCATATTTTGTCAACTTGGGAATGTCAGGCAAAGGTAAAGAAACTGAGGCACAAAGGGTTTTTGGTAACCATGCCCTGGAATCACTCATGTCTAGCTGCATGAACAATACCAACATGTGAGTATCTGGAAAGAACTTTAAAGCTGTAACATGTATTACAGAAGCACAAATGAATACAGAAACAAAGTGTGGATGTAGTAAGTTTCCATCTCTTTCATCTGGTAGAGGTCATAGGACCTCATCATTTCATCAATGCATCTAAAGGGTCGGAGCAAAAAGGCTGGGTCCTCTTCTTGGTGGTGCTGAGCAATAGGACAAGAGGCAATGGGCAGAAACTGATGCATGGAAAGTTCCACCTGAATATGAGAAAGAACTTCTTTACTGTGCAGGTGGCTCAGGCTGCCCTGAGAGCTTGTAGAGTGTCCTTCACTGTAGATATTCAAGAATGACCTGGGTACCAAATCCTGTGCCATGTGCTCTAGGATGACCCCACTTGAGGCAAGGTCTTCTTGGACCAGAAGAACCCATTCTGGAATCTTACCCATTCTAAGATTCTGTGAAAATTCTGAATGAATATGAAAATTCAGACTCCTTTTGATTATAAACATATAACAATATGTAAATTAAAAACATGTAAATATAAAACTTTGTCAGCTTTATTTCTTGTTTAGACGGATGATCCTGCCAGTGTTAGAGGGTGCTGTTCCGTGAGAGAGATGCCTCAGCTGATGAACAACCAGAAAACAACCAGCCTCTCAGCTTTGATCCCGAGAACAGAGCATGTGTTCCGGTGCCGAGGCGCGGCTGCCCGCCTTGTTCCCGCGGGGAGCAGCGGGAGGCCGCGGCCCGGTCGGAGCTGCCGAGGCCGGGTCGGAGCTGCCGAGGCCGGGTCGGAGCTGCCGCGGCCGGGTCGGAGCTGCCGCGGCCCGGTCGGTGCTGCCGAGGCCGGGTCGGA